ACCATTTTGCATTTCATTACCGAATCATCTGAGCTTCTGATTACTGTTTCAGCCATCGTGATCATGATCCTTCGTGTTTGAATTGAAATCTCTTGAATTCTTTCCAACTCGGTTCAATTCAGTTTAGTGGCTTCAACCAAGGGTCATTATCTGTTCCAAGTTATTGTGAAATGTGCCTTTATACGCTTCATTATCATTTATGCAGGAGTGGCCAAAAAAGAGACATTTTGCTGACGAGGCGCATCAGGAAGCTTTATCTCGCACAGAGTGCTATGATCAACGAAGGTCTTTCGGCAAAATATTCAGGAAGAGTCGCTCCATAAGTAGAATCAAGCCCTCCTTCACTGCTTTCACCTTCTTTAGAATACTACGTCATCGGCCATCGCCGTCGAGCTCAAAGAGATCTTCAGTACATAGTTGCTCCAGCATGGAGCTGCTAAATACGTTCTTGAAGGGGTTCAGAGGTGAACGTCTTCTAACAACAGTGGCCCCAATTGTGCAGGACCCTTTAGACCAGCGTTTTAGACAATGTCAGAAAAAACCGTCGAAGGACTTTCTGAGCGCGCTCTAGCATCATGTTCCCGAGGCAAATTGCAGTGCTTTCTCCAGAGTAGAGGGATATTATAAAGTTGTTCGATAGAATGAAATGTGCCCTATTGATATTCTGGCGAATTAGCAGATTTGAGCCTGGCCGAGCGTTATAAAGTCTGTCTCTGCAGTGGAAGGAGGGGTCCTTTTTTTGGACTACCCTGTATATCCTTGTGGTTCCGGTCCAACCATCGTTATCGTGATCCTTCGTGTCTGATGCTTTAAAATTCTTTCTCAGCTCTACTCATTTCAGTTCAATCTATTCAAGCATAGATGTATGAAGAGTACACGAAAGTTAATTCGACAATTGCTCATCGATTCGAAGATCGTGTCAACTATCACATCGTGAACACCTCGCTTGGAGTTGCATGCTTAGTAATCAACTTGATTCTACTCGGCATATTCCTTGGTTATCGCCCATTCCGCAAGCGATATGTGGTCAGTTTTTGCAACCATTTGTACTCCCTTCCTTTTTGTTTTTTATCTAGCTATTCTCGATTCCTTAAAAACTCCGTATTTCTATAAATTTTCCACGTCCAGTTCTATTCTTAAACTCCCACTTCTCGATTCATTAGGGTGGCACTTGGTCAAACGCGGGCCCGTAATGAGCAGATAGATAACATTATGAATGTTAAACTGCTTCTAGGCGTTGAAAATGACCAAATTTGTCACAAGAGCAGGATTATGTTAAAGAGGGGTGCATGTGAGGAAGCGGGGAATGTTGCAGTTCACACGAATAAATATGTTACTTTGGCTGCCAGATAAGCGAGATGTGGCGTTTCACAACGAAACGTGCGCTGGTTGCTGAGCAGGACTTTCGAAAGCGCTCCGCCCCCAAAAAGGGATCCGCCCACTAGTTCACTTGTTGATTTTGACGAGCTGCGTGGCCAGCAGCGGCGCAAGTGGAGCATGAAATCAGAGGTAGTTTGCATGTACATTGATGTAATGCGGATGAACTCGTTATGGGTCAACTTCTAGTTTTGCCTAGGTACTGTTCTTTGCTGTTACCTGTTCATAAGTGAAGATCAACGGCCTAAAAAGGGATCCCGGATTATTCCGCTTCTTTTCGTTTCGCTTCTGCGTACCATTGAGTACTACCAAGTCACGTTGGACTTTTCTTAATTTTATGTGATTGCTGCGTTTAATGTCAGGGGGTCGAGGTCAATGCTGAGTGTGCACCATTATCCGCTACAGGCGTTCGCGCGATTCGCTAGCGTCCGCGGTCGCGTTGCGGTACCAGCCAATTGAGTGATTCACTGGCCGCGACGCGACCGCAGACGCTAGCGAATCGCGCGATTCGCAAAGTCTGACATCGGCCTAAAAGAGCAAGATGTGGGGGGTCGCTGGAAATGGGGGCTGTCAAGCTCACCTGTGATCTCGATATTTTGTGAGAGAAAAATCCTTATCTGAACACCCTTAGCTAATCAATCCACCTCTTCTGCTCTCCTCCCAAACCCGATCCAGATCCAACTTTATCAATCATGAGAACAATTCAAGAATATTTTGTTCAGTTTCTGAAAGTCGTTATCAATTAATAACATCTCTTTCAGCTTCTAATTCAATTATGCGTTGGTGATCTGATTTATTCATTGGCTGTGATTCTCAGCGGATTGCATCGAATACGTATCTATAAAGAAGCCTATCAGACATATGTAATCCCATCCTGGACCACTAGAGAATGCGCCTTGCAGTTATGGCTGCAACTGAAGTTGATAGGTAAAAAACAAATTTTTCAAGGAACAAAATTCACAAGCAGTTGTGGAAAAACTCCGCGCATTCATTCTATAGTATTGTATTGACCAGTCTAGCCGCGCACGCATTAGCGTGCTTCATACGGGTCTGCAGTGGTACAAGAGAGGGCCATCGATATTTTTATAGAGCTTCATGGCAAAGCTTCTGCCTACTTGGTGCCACCCAATGATGACATTCAACCTCCCTTGTGTTGTCATATCCTATCCACTTTTTTCCGATTTCCAGGACTCTTGCAATCGAGTTGCAATGTTTTGTAAATAACTCCGCCCATTCCGGTGAACGCCCCATCCACCAACAGCTGTTTACGTCCTTTCATTGCCAGACTCTATCCATCTTTTTCCCGGTCTCCGTCCCGACTGCTTGGAATGCTATAAATCCGGTGGGAAACTCCACCCACTTCGACGCACGCGACGCCCACCAACAACACTTGATCCCTCTCTCTAACCTCTGTCAACTTTTTTTCCTGATTGCTGAGACTTCTCTAAACCAAATTATGAGAATTCGTAATGAACAGTGCCCTTTGAGAACACGCGCCGCCTACTGTGGTCTTCCAAACCTTTCTTCTCCTGCTCCATTGATTTTCTCCTGATGGAGTTATGTATTTTTTATTCAAGCATCCCCTATTTGGAGAGTTGAGTGCCTGCGCCCATCGCGGGGAAGTCCCCCAATTAGACTTATCAGCTCAGTGTACACCTTTACCCATTTATTTCGGTCTTCGGGCTCTTGCCGCAACTCGAAACTTCTGCCGTCGTCACCGCCAAATTCGTCGCGTTTACTTTTTAGTCGCTATTTCCTATCCTTTCTTTCCATTTTACAAAAATGTAAAATTTCTACCTTGGGAAAATCCAATTTTCAGGCGACCTCTTCATACCAGTAACCATCTTTTGGATGGGCATCGAACGTTTTATTGCTATTTCATTCCCATTATTTTATCGCTTAAACGTGGACGGGAAGCCTTTGAAGTGAGAGTTGCCTGGGGAGTG